CTTTTAGATATGTATTGTTTTTATAAAAACAACAAAAGTAAAAGTGAAAAAAGAAAAGTAATGAAACAAAAGTAAAATATAATGAAAGAGAAGTAAAAGTTTAATACATTAAAAAAAATTAAAAAAATATTTATTGAGTATTTTGAATACATTTTTCTTCTCTTCTTCCATCTAAAACAGATAGACCACATAATTGCTAAGCCCTGCTTTATTATCCTTTCTTCTGTCCTGGAGGAATTACAAATGACAAAAAGAATTTAATTTTAGTTTTCCTTTTCCATGTCTGAATTCATTCCAGAGAGATTTCTTCGTTACAAATGAAAATGTGTTTAATAGAGTTAAATGAATGACATAATTTAGATTAGACTTATATATGGATACGGGTGACTAAACTCGGTTCTATTTCCTAATAATAATCCATAAAATGTTTTTAGTATGTATATCGTTAAGACCAAGTCTCTGTTCTAATTAAAAATAGCATTAGCACTATTTACTTTTGGTATAATATTTATATTTTATTTTCGATATTTAGCAAACATTTTTCCGAAAAAATTTATCATAAATAAATAGTCATGTTTTAAGATTTATTCTTATTTTGAAATTTTAAAAGCATATAAAGTTATGGGCTTTTGCACCAAAGTAGGCAAATATGCCTTCTTTATTACCAAAATAGGCAAAATTTGACCGAAAGTGAAGTCGTGGGGGGCCAAAACGACTTCAAAAGAAGAAGTCGTGCCCCCCCTGCACGACTTCACACTGTTCATAGGTACAGTGTTGAAGTCGTGCACCCCAAAAACGACTTCTGGGTCCTGTAATCGATTACATTGATTTGGTAATCGATTACAGAGTGTTGAAATGGTGACCAGGCAGAAAACGTACTGGTAATCGATTACGACATTTCAGTAATCGATTACCAGCTTGATTGTGTAGCAAGAAGCACTCTGCGCTGAAGTCGTCGGGGGCCAAAACGACTTCAAAAGAAGAAGTCGTGCCCCCCTGCACGACTTCACACTGTTCATAGGTACAGTGTTGAAGTCGTGCACCCCAAAAATGACTTCTGGGTCCTGTAATCGATTACATTGATTTGGTAATCGATTACAGAGTGTTGAAATGGTGACCAGGCAGAAAACGTACTGGTAATCGATTACGACATTTCAGTAATCGATTACCAGCTTGATTGTGTAGCAAGAAGCACTCTGCGCTGAAGTCGTCGGGGGCCAAAACGACTTCAAAAGAAGAAGTCGTGCCCCCCTGCACGACTTCACACTGTTCATAGGTACAGTGTTGAAGTCGTGCACCCCAAAAAAGACTTCTGGGTCCTGTAATCGATTACATTGATTTGGTAATCGATTACAGAGTGTTGAAATGGTGACCAGGCAGAAAACGTACTGGTAATCGATTACGACATTTCGGTAATCGATTACCAGCTTGATTGTGTAGCAAGAAGCACTCTGCGCTCTGAGCGAGCAGTGGACGCTCGTCAAGCGAGCAGAAGAGGACGCTCGTCCAGCAAAGACGCGCAATGGACGCTCGTCTTGCAAGCAGAAGTGGACGCTCGTCCAGCGAAGACGTACGAGAGGACGCTCGTCCAGCGAGAAGAGAACGCTCGCCCTATGGACGCAAGAGAGGACGCTCGTCCAGCTAAAAGAGGGGCGCCGGGTGCTAGTTTTTGCGAGAAGCTCGCGCCCGGGCGTCGTGTAGGGTGGTCACGATTTCAACACTCTGTAATCGATTACCGTTACGTTGTAATCGATTACCGTTACGTTGTAATCGATTACCGTCGTCAGAAGTCATTTTTGGGGTGCACAACTTCAACACTGTTTATATCAACAGTGTGAAGTCGTGCAGGGGGGCACGACTTCTTCAATTGAAGTCGTTTGGACCCCCCACGACTTCCCCATTTTCGTAATATGGTTTGAATTTGCCCATTTTGGTAATATTAAAAGCATATTTGCCTACTTTGATGCAAAAGCCAAAGTTATGTCACTCTAAAACAAATATCACACGATTGACTTATAAAAAATATTTTAAAATTTATATCCATAAGAAAAATTATTTAACAATATAAATTCTATCAATGTTTTATGTGGCGAAGAAAATCTATTTAATAAAATAATATTATTTTGAAAAGAAAACAAAAACAGTTTTGTGAGCGTATTTTGTGTTTTTTCAATTTTAAGAAATGTCGTGACATAGAAGCGTAGAAAATACGGCAATAAATTATGAGTGTACGTATTTGGCGTCGAGCTGGAGTGGGAGCATGAAAGTTGCTGCCACAGCAACACCCTTGATAAGTGGGCCCCAGCATTTCTCAAATTCCGAAATCTTTTTCTTTTATTTATTTCCATTTATGACCCACATGTTTTTGATTGAGTAGATGGACCACACACTTTCTTTCACCCACTACCTTATGTTTTTGTTTTGCGCGACTGTTGTTTTTGTGTTGTACTAATAAATCATCAATAGCACAATTTGATGAGACATTCTACACGGATCATGATTCCCTTAATTATATTATGTAAACATTACAATGATCCTTTCTTTATGTGGAAAAACTAAGCAAAAGAATTACCATGTAATGCTTACACTCAAATATACATTGTATGTATTTGAGGTATGTCTTCTATTTAACTCCATTGCATCGTGATGCTTTAAAAACTCTCTCAAAAAGGGATTCAATTTTCTAGTTTGGAATATTTCACATGGGATGTTGCACAATTTCAGTTATAGAATAAATATGTGCAAATAATTTATTCCAAACAACACTATGGTTTAATAATTCAATACATTACCTCAACTTACAAGTTACAAACTTGCATATCTAAGCCATAACTACATATAAAGTTGTTTATACAAAGAGTACACTTCAACCATCCTAGTGTGTAATGACTCAATCAAAGTTCATACTCTATCATTTTTATAATAAAAATATGTCAACTATCTGTTCAAGTTTTTAGGATTTAGAGTATAGGTTTGGGTATGTAAAAAAAAAATATTTGCATATTTATTTTGTCTTGAAATTTTAAGTTGGAGATAACATATTACTTTATTATATCATTTACTGATAATTTATTGGTATCTTCTCTTGCAAGAACTCAACTCAAGTAACAATGAAACTAGTATATGAAATACTAATCAAATTTTTTATCCTTTGGTGGGATTTATCTAATAACTATTGCTAAATTTATGTAAGTAAAAGAAGAAGAACTACTGTTGAATTTAATCATCATGGAAGCTTTACAAATGTTATCACAATTTAAATTTAAGAGCTTCTACAGAACCTTTTCTTCTCTTAAACTTATACCACCCCAACCCAAGTTATATAAAAATGTGCTAATTAAGGAAAAGGAAAAAAAAATACAAACTTAACAACTCAATTAAAATTATAATTAATATTTTAAGCATGTTAATTATACCGGATAAATGTTAATTTTAAATAAAAAATTAATATATAAATTATAGTATGATCAAATCTTATAATAAATTACTATAATGTAATATATATATATATATATATATATATATATATATATATATATATATATATATATATATATATCATAATAAATAACTTAAATCATATGTTTATTAAAAAATTCTTTAAAAGTATATTAAATTTCAATTTTAAAATAGATAAAAGAAAATAATTTGATAGACGATTAAGAATTGAAAAAAAAAACATAAAAGAAGGGTATTGAAACAATGGATAAAATTTGGTTGACTAATACAAGAATGGTGCGTGAATTGCATATAAAAATTATTAAAGATGTGAGTGTAAAAAGTCAAAACATCATATACCAAATTGTGTTTTAATTAATGATATAATAAGAGTAAACTATATGCATGGTAACCTTTTCCCGGAATTTTCTACTTAAGAATCCAATGTTTATGCATAGAATTTTAAATTAAAAAATAACACCATATTTTGAAATTAAAAAAAAAACACCTCGTTAAAAATATATTAAAAATTTTATCGTAATTCTTAAATTCAAATCTCAAAAAGTACAGAACACCCGAAAGTCCGTTTGAATTTTTGTTTTGTTCTTGGAGTTTTTCAGATTTAACCTTCTTTTCATATTTTTATTTTGTTTGTTAAAAAAGTTTGAACAAATCGATGTGTTGCATTGCATGCTCGTTAGTGCACAGGACTCTAACACTATATATACATTCGTAGTTATGTTATGGTGTTCAAATTAAATGCATTAAAAATATCTTAGATTTTAGGTTTTGGAGATTAAAAGGTGGTAAACATTTATAGATGGAAGCGTTGTTTTCTGAATGTAAATCTGATTTTGAAAATAATAATAATTAAATAATTAAAAAACAGTATTAACATTACTAGTGATTTATTTTGAATTAAATAATCTGGCCTTGAATGAAATAGCTTGGATGAGTGAGAGTGAAAAAGCATAGGAAAAGACAAAGCAAATAATAAAAGAAATGTAGAGGGTCATTCTTTCAAATGAAACAGTTGCGATTTATTATAGAGAGAAAAAATAGTATGTTATGAAAGAAAAACTGAAAACGAAAGCAAAGCTTTCAAGTAACAAGGTTTGATTGATTTTCATGCACACAACATCTTTTGCTTTGCTTTATCTTCCTTTAGAAACCATATTCGGGCATCTATCCCTCTCTCTCATCCAACTCCAAACCTTTCTCTCTTTTCTTTCCTCTTTCTACTTGTTCTGCGTAAAGTTGGAGAATTGAAAATTGAGAAACGAAAAAGAAAAATCATAAGCCCAAAGTACCAGTACTTGTTGCACTACAATTTCTGTTTTATGGGCATATATGCCTTTTTTTTCCTCTTGAAGAAAATTAACAAGAAGAGAGAATTCAGTTAGTCTGACACTTTGAGATCACCCCTTCTTTTTTCACTTTGTCACAAATTCCTCACAAACATTCCCAGAACACTAGGACTCTTTTTAACCCCAACCTCAACTGTAATTAAGGTACATACATGTCACAGATTTTTTGCTTCTTTTGTTTCCTTTGCTAACATTTAACTCTACTTGTTCTCTTTATTCTTCATTAAGGACTTATGCTGCTCAGAAACAGATCAAGAGCTGTCACCAAACCAGGTTTGATGGGTGATCACAGCTCCCAGCCAAGTCCAAATCAGAGTTACATAAGAACCATCCCTTCTTTGTTTTCACCCAAATTCCGTGACTTCTCAGTCAAGTGTCTCTCGGGAGCTGAGGCTTTGAGAAGCCCCACCTCCATTCTTGACACCAGAGCCTTAACCCCATTTGGGAATCCTTTGTCACATGAGAAGAAGATCGAAACTTTTGCCCCCCCAAGAGTACCCTCTGAAAACAGAACTTCATGGGACTCAAAAGGCATTGGTCTTGCTCTTGTTGGTGCACTTAAAGATGAACCTGTTCTTCAGACCGCAGCTAAACCGTGTAGTGGAACTGTTCTCTTTGGAACTAAGCATAGGGTCAAAATCCCTCCACTGCCACTCCCTCCTTCATCTTCTGAATCAACTAAAACATGTGCTGTTGCTGGTTTTGCTGCCAAAACCAAGGATTCGCAAAAGCAAATAAAGGATTCTCCGTTATCGGTTGCAACGGGTGTTATGAGTTTGAGTGAGATGGAACTTTTTGAAGAGTACACGTGTGTGATATCTCATGGACCTAATCCTAGAACAACACATATATTCGACAATTGTATCGTGGAAAGTTACTGTTCCCTCCCCAATAACACTCTCTCACCTTCACTCAATTTTCTTAGCATTTGTCACACTTGCAAGAAGCATCTCCAGCAGACAAATGACATTTTTATTTACAGGTAAGGTTCACTTCCGATTCCATTTTCTTCCTAGTTATGACATGACTTTTTCTCTTATTATCTGGGTTGTGTTTTGCAGAGGAGAGAAAGCTTTCTGCAGCAAAGAATGTCGTCAGGAAGAGATGGTGCTGGATGGAGCAGAAATTTCAGAATTTGACGAATACTGATGGTCATTTTTTGAGTTGCATAGCACAGCCTGAAAGTGATAGATTATGATGGGATAAGCATCTAGTCACAGTTTTCTATTCTTGGTTAGAATTTCTAGATAGCATATTATATTTACCTTTTTGAAGTGTTTTGGTTTTGTTATTTTGGCTTCTCCTTGCAAATAGAGATAAGAGAGGATGAGGATGTAGAGTTTATTTCAAGAAATGAGTAGTTTTAGATTGCTTACGGTTTTCTGCCTTTGTTTTTGGCTGAAGATGGTGACGATGATGATGAAATATGACTGAAAATATTGCATCTTTATTGTTATTTTCTTCTTATCTGAGTAGATGATGATGCATATTATTGGAAATGGGGACCAATTCATTATTTTTCTCGAGAAGATTCCTACCTTACGAGAAATTTTAGTAATATTATTATTATTATGTTCACGCCGCTGGATTGACAAAATTCCAGCAACCATTAGAGATAGTTTTTAAAAAATGACATTGACAGACAAATATATAACTTGTTAATAGTCATTTTCCTTACCTCTTATTATCAACCAAATAATTGAATATTAGGCTTCTATATAAAAATAAATAAATTATATACGGATAAAAGTTATTCTATGCAGTTTAACTGATCTCCAAGTATATTACTTTTAGAAAAAACAATAAAGTATTAGTTATTTAATCATATTAATAATTCACTCAAAAAATTAAAAATTTAGTATTATATTTTGATTTTAAGAAAATATTTACTCCTACTATGAATGAAATCCACAACTATAAGAGAAAAGTTATCACCCTCTCTCAACCAACTATCCTTTCATTTTATCTACATTTTCTTTTTCATTATTTTGACAATTAATGTAAGAGAAAATCTATTATCTTAAAGTATCAAGATATTTAACCTTCTTAACTTTTACTTTTTAAATTTTTTATTTTATATTTATTTTTTATATTAACTTTAAAAAAATTAAAATTCACAATAGTTATAATTAATCTCACATCACAATTATCATTATAATTCTAAAATATAATTAATACATTCAAATGTATTCATTTATTTTTTATTTAAATTTTAATTACAATATAATTCATACATTTAAATTTATTTATTTATTAGATAAAACGTTAATTTGTAAAAGAAATATTTTATCATAAATTTAATGTATATTTTATCAAATTAAAGATATTAATTAACCATATTAAAATTAGAAAAAAAAACTGTCAAGCTATAATCTATTTAAGGAATTATTTAAAATATTAAATATAATTTTTATTAGAAATTATTTTAGGAATGCATTGATGTCATACTTTGAATTAGTTTTAAAATATTTAAGAAAGAAATAATATAAGAGGGAAGGAATAAATATTAAATTTGAAAAATGGTGTCCCATGTCCCAACAACACCATAATCACATTTGATTTAACAGCCTCAACAATGAGTGTGTCTGGATCAGGCACAGGCTTCCAAAAGGTCTAAATTAACCCTAAACATAACAACAATCAATGACGTGTTTATAGAAGAGATTGTAGGATTTTCCTTAAAATCAATTATGACATTATTAATACTAAACTTTAAATTGGACTGAAACTGAAAAAACTATCGATTAAGTTGAAAATGGAAGTATATGCGCCTGAAAATCAGCAGTGTTGTACTCACAGAGCCATTAATTAAGGAAATGGACATTCTGGAAGGTGCATTTCAACCACTACGGTGAAAACAAGAACACGTTGAAGTTGGGACCCAAGGTACTGTAAAGTGAGCGTGCTAAAACGTTGAGATGCTCAATTAATTTTGACAATGAACAAAGAAAGGTAACCTAGAAGATGGCGACTCCTTTGACATTTGCTGGAATTATTAGTTATTACGGATGAGAAATTAATGTCACTCAGACATCTTTCACCAATTCATACTTCTCTACAATTATCTCTCTAGATGAGATATTTCATTCAAATTATGCACTTTTCAAACTGTTCATACTGTCCACTCTCTTCAAACACTTTTCATGAGTTTGCAATATCAACTGTTTAATTTATGAAGCATGAACGTCTTACACAGTATGCATCAGTCAAAATGAAGGAAAGACTGGAATTATGAGAGAGTAAAAGCGGATCTTTGAAAATTTCCCATTTCCAAACATCATATCAAATGCATTTTCCTTTCCTTCAGTTCCATTTTATGTCTCAACTGTTGCTTCCTTTTCATGTCTCAATTTTTTCTAAATATATCTTCTTTTTTAATCATTTATATTTTAATAACAAAATGTTTCACAATCAATTTTTAATAATATATATATATATATTATATTAGACTGGGAGAGAAATTAACATTACAGAAAAACTATATGACTATTTTTTTTAAATCAAGAAAATTCATGATATTTCTAAATTCTTGAATAATAACGTCAAGTGTGAATTCGATACAATTTAAATAAATTTTCCAATAACAGTTGTTGAAAATGTAACTAACAAGTTTGGAGCATATTTAACCTAGAACTGAAGCAACAGACAAAAAATGAGTTAGAAATGATAGGTTTAGAATTAGGTCAGCTACACAAACATCAGCTACTGCTACGAAAATTTAAAAGAGAAATTGTTGATATCACATGAACTGAACTGAACAAGTATCCTAATAAGACTACTGAAATATTTTGAGATTTTAGGAATGTTATATAGTACTCCACACCTTACCCCTGCACGTTCCCTCGTGCCAACTTGTTTATACAATTGAACCAAACATGCAGTTGCCATAGCAGGAAATAGATTATAGACCATTCTGAGTTGTAATTATTCTAACATGATACTAAATCACTGCTGAATGTTTAGTAATCCAAGTTCCATCAGTATTAGGAATTCAATGCATTTAAAGACCAAATAACGACATAAGATACATAAGTTCATAAAACTGCATATAATCATGCCATAGGCCATAGTTACTGCATGTAATCATGCCATAGGCCATAGCCTTGGACGAATTTCTATGTAAATTACTCAGGAGAATAAGTATTTGATTAAGATACAAAATGCAATCTAGATAACAATCACCAACATTACATTTAAGCAGACCAGACAAATTCCACAAGTTACAGAGGCAGAAAGAAAGAAACACAGACAAGGCACACTACGTAGAACAACTGAAATACAACTGACCACAACTCACGATTCACAACTGAAACAGCCTTCGTAAGTTGCCACCCTGATGAACACATTGAACAATTCTTAGCAACTGCAGTGTAATGGCATGAAAAGATTATAGCACAAGTATTTGAATAATGACCAAGTAAGATCATACCTTAACATTTGGCATAGCATGGTCAACACTCCATGGAGATGGAAGATAAACCAGGAGAGAACTACTAGGACTAAGGAAATAAGCATAACTTGGATTGAACATTTCAGGGCTTTACTAGTAGGTGGAGTGACATGGATTGATCCTAAAATCTGAAGCGGATAACAAAGACTAATACAAATCCCTTCTTACTTTTCTTTGAAAAAAAACAGAAAAGATACTGAAGGGTAAACTATACCCTCAATGAGGATTACTAATACAAAATTAACAAAGAGAAACAAAATGACTAGGGGAAAAGAAAGACAGGTGAGAAAGGTAAGTAGCAAGCAAACTGAATAAACATGTAGAAGAAGACTGATATGGCACCTATGAGCACCATAAAATCATGTCAGGCAGAGAAGGCAAGCAAAAAGAAATTAGAATAGAAGATTGAATGATTAAGAACATTAGAAAGAAGAAACAGAGAGAGCGGACAGGGAAGGAGATGTGAGAATTTGAAATCATATACACAGTATCTAAAGCAAGAGACCTTCCTACGAGAGAACAAGGAAAAGTTAACTACTCTGTAAGGAGATGATGCTAAGAAATCTAAATCATATATTTAGGATGATTCAACTTGAATGAAACTTTCTTCAGGTCCAGTATATTAAAGTCCATCCCATGCCACTTCTACCCATCATTACCACCATTCTACATACCAACCATATTCACGGAAGCTTCCTTGCATGATCCACAGCAATGCCTGTTTTCAGTAGATTCCTCCAGTACACACCCAGTTACCCTCTCCACAGCTAAGCTCCATCCACTTCCAAAATCAGGAGAATGTTGACCCACCATGACAGCCAAGATTGTCAAGGGTACCACCACAACCGAAAGCTACATAAACTTAGACTACTAGCTTACAAACGTTATTTGGTATCTACACATATCTAACACTAACCCACTTTCATTAAAAGGACTTTCTTACAGGAGCCTATTCCTCCTTGCATTTCAGTAGTCATTGATGTTAAGATTAAGAATCCGACACAGGGTCTTCGTAGCAGAATCAGCATTAACAAAGAGATCCCTAGTAAAAGGCAAATCCAAATGCTCCCTGGCAGGGGAAGAGGGTGCAGATTTAGCCACCGGGCGCATTTCAATCTCAGGGGAGGAACCAGGAAGATTAAGGGACACAGTCCTCTTTGGTTTGACAGAAAACTTGGGAATTGGTAAGGAACTAGGAGGTGGAGAATTTGAGTAGGTAGGACCAGCCCATAACTCAGAAAGCAAAAGATCAACACCACCAGGGACATCTTCTCTCTCTTTTCTCCTACAAGCTATACCATTGATGGGAATTGGGGTGCTCTTGGGAGTAACTTTTACTTTCCCAAACGTTTTGTAGTCAGAGTTAGGTGGTGATTTAGGGGAACCATGAGATTTCAAAGGAGATGGCAATATACCTGTCCTCCCAGACTCAAAAGTCCTGCAATTGATATCCCTAAAGCCCCTGGAAGGTGAACCCCCGAATCGAGCATGACCCTGGGACTTGGACCTGCTGTAGTATTGGTTCTTATGCTGCTCAACAACAAAAAGGGTCTCCATAGCACCCACAATAACCGAGTCAAAGAGCGATTTACAGGTTATATCTACTAGATCCAAGTACTACAACTCAGTACAAGGTATCAAAGACCAGCCCAAAACCAAAATCTTTGCCGTTCTAGATAATCTCCCTCCCAAACCAAGCATGTAACCGAAAACCTTGTCCACCACAGCTACAACACCCAGGTAGAAATCTCACCGGTTCAAATCAACCACAGAAGCTTTCTGACACTGGAAAAAAAGAGAGCAAAGAATACAAAAATAAAGAATATTAGAACACTGCCATACAAATTATTTAAAAAAAAATTGTACTTTCTTAGGCATCAAATCAACATTTTCTCAAGAGGGAGCACGAAAATTACCCATCAGTGGAAGAGAAAAAAAATTCAAAAGGAGAACACGAGAAGGGTATGATAGTAGAGTTGGTTTTTGCTCAGAACTACAGTGGTTTTATGGTGTAGGTTAACTTGTATTTGATTTATGGTTTTGTTTGATTTAGTTTGGAAGCACTGAAAGTTGCATGGTTGGAAATGAAAAATCTACAAAAAAAAACCAGCTCCCTAGCACTGGATCTGAAAATGAGATGAACCTCGTCATCACTCTATACACCAATATCATTATATATCTGTATTAGTTCATATTTAATTTAATTTAATTAACATAATATAATATAATGTGAGTGCTAATAGGAGTGGTTGGTCTGGTCAATATGAGTTATGCTTTCATTTTTTTTTCTTTATTGCGTCACTCCTTTTAAATCATAATTTCTATCTCTTTTTTTTTTTCTTAATTAAATAATTACAACCAATATTGTGTAAATGCTGAGCTGGATTAGATTTGTGTTGAACCTTCAACAGGTACGACATGCAATGTACCTAAAGGTAACCTGCTGGTGCCGGTTTTTAATCCACCTCTGTGCATATCACCTGCTACGATGTACACGTGCCAGTTGGAGAGGTCTGTTCTTTACTTGGCAAGGTAAACTATAAAGGGATTAACTAAAGCAGTCTCAGAAAAAGTATATTTATGCTTTATTGTGTCCGCCGAAAGGTATGACATTGCCAAAAACCTACGTTTCCCCAATCTTATCAAAAATTCCAAATTTCACAAACACAATTTAAAATTAAAAGATGGGAAAATATTGAGATTTATTCTCTCAGTTTTATGAAAAACAAATTGTAGAAAAGTAATTATATATTGTTTTATTTTTTTAAACATATTCAGTTTGAAAAAAATAAGGTGCCTTGAAAATATTTGTTAAAGACGAGATTAGTTATATTATTATTTCACCTTTTGAAAATATATAAAAATATTTGTTATTACTGAACATATTAACATGTTACAATTGCAAATGTATGTTGGATGGGTGAAAAAGATGACATGTAAGGAGGAGCGCGTGTCGTTTTGTGTAACTAACGTAATTATAACATTGTTTAAAAATTTGTCTATATTTAGTTTTTTTTTATGTAATTAGAGATGACAAAATCATTTTGTACTAAACTTAGCAGAAGTTAGAAATGAAAAAAAAGTTGTATTTGTTTATTAATCATCAAAAATTTTAAACATTTGTTCAAAGTTCTCTTTCTATCCTCTATGACTTACCTTTTTTATGTTCTACTTTCAAAATTGAATTCAAATTTTTCGGTGTTCTTGATTTTTTATAACTTTTATAAGTTGAATTTGTAATACTTTGTATTTAGGATAGAATCATTTAAATGAGCGACAAACTATAAAAATATATATTTTGTTGGAAATTGAAACTATAAAAATATTCATGTCTAAAGTTAGGTTCTTTATATTTTTCTAGTTTATGTTTTAGTTTGCTTCTTTCTGTTATTTCTTACTATCTCAATCTATCTATCTTTAGTATTCATCTCTTAATTGTTTTTTACCTCAATCTTCATATGAATAACCTCACTTTAACTTTTTATCTTGTGTTCTAAAAAGCTTCATTTAGTTAAAGTGATTCATCTTTCATTATACTCTAACTTAGTCAATTTTCTAAATTATGCGTAATGTTTTGTTTTGTTTTATGTGAATGAAAATTTCTAATTTTGGACAACAAATAAATTCATTGATTAGGTAAAAGAAAATTTTGGATTATGTTTAGAAACTACCTTATTTGAAATTCTGTAACAAAAAGTATAAACAAAACTAATTTCTAAATTTGTTATAAAATTATAAGGGAGTTTACTATTTTATTAATTTATATTATTTTTGGTTCACTATTTATTGTCAGAATCATTAAAAATGCACAAAAAAAAAACCCTCTGAATGGACACAAGGTGTCAAGCGACAAGAATCCGAAAATCAAATAGTGGAAGGCAGGTGTCGGCAGATGAGTGGACGCTCATTTTGATGTGGGAAGCAAAACTGATTTTTCAGAAATTCACGTCACACTCTCTACATGCACCCTTCTTCTCCAAAACTTTGAAATTTTCATTTCTCCTTCTTCTCTCTAAAAACTCTCCCTTCTCTCTACCAAATCTCATCTTTTCTCTTCTCCGATCACCGTTCAGGCACCGTAGAAGCACTTCCGGCGTCCAGAGCTTCAGTTTGAACCGATTGGTTTCGAGTTCTGAATTGGTAAGTTCTTCTTGTCTTTAGCCGTTCGTTATCTGATACATGCAAACCAAGTTTTGGTTGCATGATTTCATCTTGTCTGAGCCATTGTTGATCTTCTGTTGTTTGGTTTAGTTTGAAGAATTGTTGAACGTGAGGGTAGAAGGAATTGTAATCAGGCGAACCTTAAATTCTGCCTCTAGGAACGTTCGTTCACGCTCAGAGGTAAGGGAAGCTTATTAATTTAATTTGTATGATTCTTTGTAATGCATGAATGTTCATTGAATTGACTGAATTAATATGATATATGATGGTTGATGTGTTTGAATTGTATGAAATATTGAAATTTACTATGAGATGAATGTATAAAGTTATGAATATATATGTTGAGAAATGAGTTTGAATATAAATGATTCTGGTATTAAATTTCCCCTATGAAAGTGTACGTTCGTTACTAAACGGTCCTTAACCTTTCAGTTTTTCTAGTAAACTTGGTTAAAATTGGATTCTTTCATTTGGGAAGAATCCTAGTTGAGGACGAGTGTCTTCGTTTTGTAATACTATGCTTGAACGTTCGGCAAAACGTAGTTGTTCTTTGATATTCGGTTATGAACTTAAGTATATTTAGATGTATTTGTATATTTTAGTTGTTCTTAAAACACTACTCAAAATGGTATCTTATTATATTCACCAAGTTTTTCTTATATAAGTTTAATAGTGCTCAGTCTTACACCAATTGCTAGTACTGAGGTAGTGCTCGGTCTTACACCAAGTACTCATTCTCCTTTCTGAAAAATATATATATAAATATAAACGTTCGTACTATTTAGTGCTAGGTCTTACACCAAGCGCTCATTTATTTTCTATAACTACCTTGATGAAAATAGCGTTAGTCTAAATTCAATATTCTACTCTTTCTACCGTGCTCGGTCATTGACTGGCATTCGGTTTTATTGATGCTAAACCCAAAAAGAAGCTAAATGTTCATAAGCATTCGGTTCTTCATGGAAATTCTTCTAAGTATTATTCTTTGAATATCTAGAAGTGTCTGTATCAATTGGGTCCAGCCTAGAGTCTTAATACTGGGCCTGGTCAATTAGGTGTTAGGTTGGAGCTTTCAAGAGTCAATTCATCTAATTGGCTTACTTTGTAATTAACGTTCGTTCCATTCGTTTCTTGTGATATATGATCGTACTCGGTTTCTTTCTCAAACCGACAGTAACCATCTTGGTCTAAATCCATTCTGGAACTGGAGACCTCTTGGTCTCGCTCCAAGTGTTTGGTCTCGTTCTGAGTTAGGGTTGAACGTTCGGTGTTTGGTATTCGAATGGATCTTTGTGTGAAATGTTTAAGTGAGATGATTATTAATGAAAGATGAAGAGAATGTGATATGGTTTGAAATGTTTGGATTATGGACGAGCGTTCCGGGGAGGAACGACTCATGAATGAATATTGGAATTGGTAAAGTATGAATGTAGGCATGCTAAGCTGGCGGTTCATCCTGATGTTCCGTGAGTACTCGTCCTCACGTAGAGGAGGGTAGGTCATGTGTGAGAACGGCAGGAGGTCCTAGTCCTTATGGTTAATTTGGACAGATAGGAGTAACCTCGGGTGGCAGCTATTGAGGGTATCCCAGTTACTACATCACCCGGGTGCACGAACGTCGTAGCTACACAGATTTCATACAGTCCAGACAGTCAGTCTAGTATTAGGTTTTGTATGAAACGTATGATGAATTATCTTGTTTATTTGATTGTGTGAAATGTATGTTTATACATGAATTAAATTACATAAGCTTACCCTGTGTTTCGTGTCTTGTCATGTTTTGTACGTTCGTCTTTGTCATTGCAATGATCATCCATGTGGATGTGAGCAGAAGGAGACGAGCTGTTGGAAGAGGTGCTGGAAGAAGATAACCTGGTCGAGGTAGAAGTGAAGACCGAACAGTAGGACGTTTGATCAGTAGTTTAGTTTGATGATAAGGTGGTCGTTCGATCACCTTCTCCCTTTCTTTTGATTGATCGTACAATATAGGTTTTTGTAAACCGTTCGGTCAGAATTGTACCACTGTATAGCTTTATTTTCTCGTACTGCTTTGTAAGGCCGTTCGGCCATAACCGTACAGTCTCCTTAGTGTAAGACTGATCTGAATTATTATTGAATGTGATTATTCTATTATATAGTTTTAAACTGTATTTTCGGGATGTTACATTTATTATAATCACTATGTTTATTAATTTAATTCATGGTCTACGAATGAAAAATCTCATAACTTAGATTTTAAAAATTTATAGTTATAGGATATGTTTATTACACGAATTTGAATTGTATTTGGAGATGTCAAGTCTCCTACAATGCGTTGAATCGAGAATATTCTTTCATGAAAAAGGGTCAACGTAGGTGTGAAAGCATAATGCAAAAGCCTTGGTTCTAAAAGTTTCATATCATGTAAGTTAGGATCAAGTAAGATAGGATCACCTTTAATGTGAGTTTAATTTTATTGTACAATTTTAGTTAAGTTTTAAAAACAATACTTAGTCTTGGTTATATATCGATTCAGTCTCTTATTAATCGAAAGTTAAGACGAATTAGTTTAGATTGAAAATTGAGATGGATCGTTTTAAACCAAAATTTGAGATGGGTTATTTTAGATGAGAGATCAGATTGGGCTGCCTAGGACATAAGGTCTAGACCAATCGGTCTAGCTCGACAAATGAGATGGGAGAGCTCGTGCTAAAGATCGAGATAGGTCAATCTAAACCGAAGGACGAGATTGGTCAACCCAAATTGAAGGATGAGATTGGATTGTAGGTTGAGATGAGCCGGATTGAGCCAAATGTCGAGATAAGTTGACCTAGATCGAAGATCGAGATGAGTATGCTCAAACCAAAGGTCAAGACAAGTCGACACAAGTTGATGGTTAAGACGAGCTAGCCAAAAAACAAGTTGAGACGAGCCAAACCAAACCGACTTAGATGACCCTAATCAAATTCGATGGGTTCTACCGAGTCGACCCGAGCGAAATTTGGTCG